CGGAACTTCTTATTTTAATAGATATAGCCGGCCAATGGTTAATTGAGTCGTGAAATTTAGACTTGTGTCCCAAATTGGGAACAACAATTAACCCTTTGGAGTGTGAAATTCATGAATTGTTTACAGACTAACCGCTATTGTCAGCACAGTTTCCATGAGGGATCAATACTGGGTCCAAAATACCTTCCCCTTGTTTTTTGCCAGTCATAAGATGAGAATTTTCTTACTCTGAAAGTCATCTAAATCATACGGCCTCTTTGGAATTCCAGTTCGTACCTCACAGGGAACACCGTGTCTGTTATAAAGATCAAGCGGTTAATTCCCTTCAGGAAAGTACTGAAAATCACACGAAGTATGTAAATACACTGCCAAAGTAAACGGGAGAATTCTTTTAACATGACAGTACGTGGTATGTATGTAGTCATCAGTTGCTTTGAAGGGTTAACTCCAGAATGTTAGACGAACGTGGCTCAGGTGTGCTCATTAGCCGTGACACACACTTTCATATGTCAGTTTCTCTACAGAACTTCTCTGATAACAGGATCTGTAATATCGCTGTGAATTAATTCCAGTAGATTTAAGTACAATGAAAACAGACATGAGTCCCTGTGTCTGCTTTGACTACAAGGGTGCGAAATCACGTCACACACAAAACTCTTATGTAAGTTACAGGCGCATTTGAAACCTCTTGCTTTGTCAAGAGTCTTAACGTAAATGCCAAGACTGCATCCTATAAATGAATTCCTTGAATCAGCTATGTGAGCCTAGAAAACAAGATCTGTTTACTAGAGTCACAAAATTACGGCGCATAACGAAGCTGGCTTAATAACTCCTTCAAGTAACCTACAGTATGAGTAGTATTGTATAAACGTACAGGCAGAGTTTTTTCACCTGACTTCGGGGTTGCGCATTAGAGCATGACAAGAAGTAGTGGGGTAGTGGTTACAGCTGCGTTGCGGAAGTGACGGAGGACGGCGCACTGTAACTAAGGCCCTGTTATGACCCATACAAGCCCTACAGCCCTTATCTCAGTTAATGGACTTCACCAAATCCACTGCGCATTCTACAGACAACGGCCAGAACTGCAAAGATGGTCAGTAGTTTCTGGAATTTTCATTTGTTCTGTTAGCCTTCGCGTACGCTGTCTGTTTTACCCTTATTTATCTCTCTCTCTCTCTCTCATGGAGCTGAGCCATTCTTGAGAAGCAGCCAATTGTGCAGCTAATTAAGAACTTCCCAACATATTATGGAACCTGAAAGTTCATTACCGTGTTCGCAAGAGCCTTTCACTGGTCCCTATCCTGAGCCAGATCGATCCAATCCATACCATCCCATCTTCTCTCTCTCTCTAAGATCCATTTTAATATTGTCCACCCACCTACGTTTTGGTTTTCCTAGTTGTCTTTTTCTTCTCGTTTTCCAACCAATATCCTACATGCATTCCTCTTCTTCCCAATTCACGCTACATGCCCTGCCCATCTCATCCTCCTTGACTTGATCATTCTAATTATACTTGAAGAGTACAAATTATGAAGCTCCTCATTATGCAGTTTTCTCCAACATCCTGTCACTTCATCTCTCTTCGGTCAAAATATTCTCCTCAACACCCTGTTTTCAAACACCCTCAGTCTATGTTCTTCCCTTAATGTCAGAGACCAATTTTCACACCCGTAGAGAACCACAGGCAAAATTATGCTTCTGTTTATTCTAATTCTTGTGTTTTTAGACAGATGACGAAAAGACAGAAGATTATGGACTGAATGGAAGCAAGTATTCCCCGAGTTCAGTCTCCTCTTAATTTCCTCCTGAATCAGTTTTGATTTGTTATTGTCGTTCCCAAATATCTGAACTGTACCACATTTTTGGAACATCTGTTAGCTATCTTTATGTCATGATTTTGCCCTGCATTTTGGTGACGAGACAGCAACATATACCTACTTTCCTCTGTTTAGTTATAGACCAACCTCCTTACTCACTCACTCAGAGACCTGAGCCCTTCTTGAGAAGCCGTCAATTCTGCAGCTACTCAAGAATTTCCCAGCATTTTATGGAACCCGAAGGTTCATTACCGTGTTCACAAGAGCCCTCAACTGGTCCCTGTCCTGAGCCACATCAATCCAATCCATACCATCCCATCCTGTCTCCCTAAGATCCAGATATGGAATATACATATATATTGAATAAGCAGTCGCGGACAGCCGACAAGGGTGGTTCTCCAGCTTGGCGGTTGGGCGTGGGCGTACAACTCCTCACCATAAAAAATAAACTTGTTACGAAAATTTGCAACAAGCCTCGGACCTGGGCGGATTCCAACCTCCTTACTAGGATCAATTAAAGTGTCTGTATTTTTCTTTATTGTATTATTATGTCCATTACAGATGTTCTATTTCCATTTGCAACCTATTTACTGACGCCTTCTTATATGTCATAAAGTTTATACAGTTTGAATACTGACAGCATCGCAAAATTGGGCACATACGACAACGCATGCGCGGAAGGCTTCACCATAGAAGAGTCCAGAACTGCAACTAAACTGAATTTAATCTAACCAGAAGAAGATACGAGAACAGTTCCTAGAATCGTCGAGCTGCTGGCATCAGCATCAGAACAAACAAGTCCTATCTTGTGCTGCTAGGCGTGGGAGTAGCCGTGGGGGCCGTGAGGCGCAGTAGTTTATACAGCAGCATGTAAGAGCGATGTGTATGTGAGAGCTAACCTGTTTCTCACTCCACTGTGTATCAACAATCTTGAAATCGAAAAGTAACTCCAACTCTAAATATGGCAGCTTGTTTAAACACAGCAGCAGTAATATTAATGATGATTAATGATAATAATTCAACTCTCAGTTTATCGAGCGGATTGGCGGGAGAGCTAGGTTCGAATTTTGCCTGGGACACCTGCTATCATGATTTTCGTGGGTTTGATCTGTGAGCTATCTTCGGTGTTAAACTAACAAAGACCATAATTCTTTCTTGGTGGATTATTTTATGACATTATGTGTATCTAGAGGTGGGCAGGGCATGTAGCACGAATTGGGGCGACGAGGAATGCATATAGGATATTGGTGGGAAAGCCAGAAGGAAAGAGACCAGTGGGAAGACCAAGGCGTAGGTGGGTGGACAATATTAAAATGGATCTTAGATAGGATGGGATGGTATGGATTGGATTTATCTGGCTCAGGGTAGGGAACAGTGGAGGGCGCTTGTGAACACGGTAATGAACCTTCGGGTTCCATAAAATGTTGGGATATTCTTGAGTAGCTGCAGATTTGGCTTCTCAAGAAGGGCTCAGCTCCGTAAGTAAGTAAGTAAGCAAGCAAGTGTACCTAGACGTAAACTTGAAATTCGGAAGGATTTGTAAAGGAGTGGATGTGGCCTAATCGAGGTTCTATCTAGGGAAAAGCACGAAAGGCCTCAGTCAATATAGCTGGAGACCCGGCCGAGAATCGAACAGAGTGCAGCCCGAATACCAGTCTAATTCGTTACCGCTACGCCACCTTGCTCTGTAGTTCGATTTTACTCGTACATAAAACATAAATTATTGCGTGTCACACATACTGGTCGTCATGGCGAGGGGTGAAAGACCAATTAAAATGGCGTCAGTCCAGTCCAGCAACTGGAGGTTAGGAGCCGTTACCCCACACAAAGTGAACGTGGTCTGTGTCAGACATACTGATTCTAAACGTTCTTCTTTCTATGACTTTCTTCAGGGGGACATGCGGTGGTGTAGTTGGTTGAGGCACTATGCTACAAGTGGGAAGGTCGCGGGTTCGATTCCCAGTGAGGTTATTGGATTTTTTAATTTACATAATCCTTCCAGGCGCATTATGACCATGGGGTCGGCTCACTCTCTGACATAAATGAGTACCAGCAATATTCCTGGGGGTAAAGGGCGGCCGGCGAGTAAGGCTGACAACCTCACCGCCATCTGTGAGCCGGTCTAGCAAATGTGGGAGCCTCAGCGTCTTATAACCCTATGGGTCTCCACGGCCTGTTACAGGGATAGCTTTACCTCTTCAGTAACTGTCTTCAGGTCTTGCAACTAACGGCGTGGATCTGTGGTAAATAAATTGAACCTGAGATATACTTCCTCTGCTAGTTATCGGTCCATCAGGTGGTTATGGGAGAAAACCAATTGTTAAGCCATTTTTTGTGTATCTTGAGATGATACTTGATAATAACTGTAGAATTCCAACAGCTCTTCAGCAATAATACTAATACCATAAGCAACTATGTATAACGATTCCTATTGTCTTAATTAAAAACATGTACTTTCGTCTTCTTCCTCCTATTATTACTTACAAATTTGGTCCTCTAGGACCCTCTCCGAGACTTACTTACTTACTCATGGAGCTGAACCCTTCTGGAGGAGTCGCCAATTCTGCAGCTACTCAAGAATTTCTCAGCATTTTATGGAACCCGAATGTTCATTACCGTGTTCACAAGAGCCCTCCACTTTCCATATCCTGAGCCAGATCAATGCAATCAATGACACCCAATCCTCTCTCTCTAAGATCCATTTTAATATTGTCCGCCCACCTATGCCTTGGTCTTTACTGTGGTCTCTTTCCTTCTGGCTTTCCCACCAATATCCTATACTCATTCCTCGTCTCCCCCATTCGTGCTACATGCCCTGCCCCCCTCATCCTCCTTGACTTGATCATTCTAATTATACTTGGAGAAGAGTACAAGTTATGAAGCTCCTCATTATGCAGTTTTCTCCAACTTCCTGTCACTTCATCTCTCTTCGGTCCAAATATTCTCATCGACACCCTGTTCTCAAAGACCCTCAGTCTATGTTCCTCCTTTAATGTCAGAGACCAAGTTTCACAACGTTCACAACCATACCCGAGACTACATGTAAAAAATAGAAATTAGCCAGTAGGAAAGATGAGATTTCTGGCGCGGACATCTGAAGCTTGGTTTGCACTTTTGCGCATGCCCCGTTGAGCTTGTTGGTCATGCGTGTTGAGGGAGGTAGTCATGTGGTCATGTGTTTGGTGTTGTGGAAGAGGTTAGAGAAGACTGAACATCGGTGGTAATAGACAACTTGCATTTAGTAAGAAATAAATAATAATGCTTTTCACATTTAATGATTCTTGCCAGCAGCGAGGTTTGTGTATGCCAACGAATACTTCATGCGTATCCTTGAAAATCGGAATAGCGAATGGTGAATTTCATGGTCCTAATATGACAGTATTACGGTATTTTGTTACCGTAGCATTTCCAATGCAGCCCGTTAGTTTCACCAAGGATGAATTTGATATGTTTTTCTAATACCGTAAGATAGGCATAATAACACATGTTTCTAAAATATATATTTTACGTACTCACCAACTCACTGAAAAAAAAATGCAATAACCAATACTAAAACAAGTTTTGTCTCTTAAAAGAGATGGAACTTATGGATTGTACCGAAAGCCCATGCTTTTGGGGATTAAGGATTGTTATGATCAGTGTGAAGGAACTGGAAACTCACATCTTGGTTTGTCGAGTCTGAAATCCGATGAACAGAACTACGTAATTTGGTTTCTGGATTTACAGATCAGGTTACGCGTTGAAATGATTAATTCTGAGAATCATACCGAACCGTAGGTACTCCAAGCAGATGTTCGTGGGAACATTATCAAGTTCCAATGTGCTAAATTTCCCCATAGTGAAGTTGGAAGGGTTCCTCAGCGATATGGAGACTTGTACCGGAAACACTTTGCGGCCTAGGATCCAACAAGCCAGACATCAACAAAGAAATGTAAGTATATGTTATTTCACATATAACATAAGGGTTAATATTTCTTTATATTACGACACGAAATCCAGCATCAAGTGACACGGTAAAACATTTTTATGTTATAGGATTTGAAACATGATAGTTCCCATATATCACGTGACGTAGAATTCATAGCGGAAAATGAATTAACGTTGAACTACTATGCAATAAATGGGAATTGTCAAAATCATGTTCATGTAGAAAGTATTTCCGGAATGCGAATTTGCTGGTGAAATTATATTTTTATGTCGTTTAAATACTTAAAATCAAATTCTACGCGTATGGAAGAAACCGTTAATTGTTTCCGCTGCGGAGGAAAGTTATCATTCCAGTAATTGTTTCACATCTTGTTCGAAGCGTTTATTTTATTATCAAAGCTATATGCTTTATGCTTATCTGTTTCTAATCGTCACCTGTGTGTACATAAGCATACATATATACATATACTTACGTGTTTATTATGTGCTTAGAGGATGTGAGTCTGCCTACACAGACAAATATATGACGAGGATTGCATGATTTGGAGTTGTCAGAGGGCAGGGTGACTATTAAGATTGCGGTCTTATGGGATGTGATGCCATATAGTCTGGTAGATTGTTACCAACCTTTTGGAGGATCTGCTGCTTCCATCATCAGGAAGTTTTGGAACAACCTCCTGCTTCCATCTGTAGTGTAAAAGACTCACCCTGATGATAGAGGGTGCATGTTATTTTGAAACCCAAGTAAAGATCTGCCACACTACACGGCACCATGTCCCAGAAGATATTAATCTTAAATTTACATATGCTTCATTCTGAGCTAACAGCCGTTAGGGTGAGTGCTTTAGACTGGTTGACATTGGCTAGGGAGGGCTGGAGGGGAATATGGCAATATGCAAGGAATGGCAAACCTTAAGCACCATCATTCTGTCATCCATGGGTCTTTTTTTTATGGCCTCATTTTGAGACCTCTGAATATATACATTGACAAATGAAAAAAAAAATAATATTGCACGTGCTGTCTGATATGTAATTGATCTTGGATGAGTTAACCTTTGAAATGAAAATAATTGTTGCTCTGTAGACTGCTCGTGGTTGCAGAATTTATTTATTTTATTATCATTCATCGATCCATTCAGGTACATAACTATTTACTTACTTACTTACGGAGCTGGGCCCTTCTTGAGAAGCCGTCAAATCTGCAGCTACTCAAGAATTTCCCAGAATTTTATGGAACCCGAAGGTTCATTACCGTGTTCACAAGAGCCCTCCACTGGTCCCTATCCTGAGCCAGATCAGTCCAATCCATACCATTCCATCCTATCTCTCTAAGATCTATTTTAATATTGTCCACCCACCTATGCCTTGGTCTTCCCAGTGGTCTCTTTCCTTCTGGGTTTCCCACCAATATCCTACATGCATTCCTTTTCTCCCCAATTCGTACTACATGCCCTGCCCACCTCATCCTTTTTGACTTGATCATTCTAATTATATTTGGGAGAAGAGTACAAGTTATGAAGCTCCTCATTATGCAGTTTTCTCCAACCTCCTGTCACTTGAAGAAAGCAGTCTTCTGGGAAGAAAGCCTCAAATCTTACTCCTGTCACTTAATCTCTCTTTGGTCCAAATATCATTGTTATATTACATAAGCTAAATAACAATCAAAATATTTATAAGAAACTAATGAATGCAAAGTAAAATACAAAGCTACAATTACTGGGATACCCCAAGATCAAATTTATTATTCCTATCAAGATACTCTTCAACAGAATAAAAAGAGTTTTCTGTAAGAAAATATTTCATGTTTGGGTGCATACTGTTTGTACCATTAGTCTCCTGTAGACCCCACTTATGCAGTTTTACTAAGAAAGGCGTTCACTGTAAATATCTGAAATTTAATCAAGATCGTCAGAGTGTTTTAAGAGAATATTGCAATTTTATGTGTTGTGTCCCCCTGAAGTACCCCTGTGCTTGGAGCTGAAATGTTTATATTCACTGGTCACTGACCCATAATGGATGAACTTTATATAGACTGCATCCTGTTGTGTATATTATATTTGATTTTTATTTGTATTATAACCGTCAACACAACACAAGTGGTATGGAAGTATTTCAATTGAGATAGTGAATGTTAATGTACACTTTACTTATTTATTACAAATTATATTTATATAATACAAATAAAAATCAAATATACTGAATAAATTTGTGAACAAATCCATCCTTCTATACAGACAGACAGCGTACCAAATCCATATTTTCGCATTCAGGGGGAACAGAACATGTAAATATATTAAAATCTCTGGATGGTTTGCTTCAACATTGTAGTGCCTTCTCTTATATACTACATGTAAGAGAAAGTACAATAAAAGCTTGTATTAAATATGTGTAATCAGTAATTAAGAATTATGTGTGAAGTTAGGTGAAAGAATTTAAATTGTCAGAATTTTCCTACGTAAAAATGATAGAAAGAAAAATAGTTGCAGTTGATTTACAGCATGAGAATTTGTCCATAAAAATCTTGTCATGTTCAGTGGAAACTTCTGCTACTTAAAGGACATGAAGAATAAGATTTTACCTGTTGTAAATATATATTTGTTTTATGTAGTAATATATATAACATAAAGCTAATTAGAATCTGTGGACTGGCATAAATTCAGATTACAGATCTGTATGGATGCGGACGCCATGTAATTTGGATGACAGGTATCAAGAGTCCAGTGCAAGCAGCTACTGCTCTGTCACATACTTCTCTTCTATAATGAATGTTATTAAATTGTGTATAAAACATCTTCCAGGGTGCATCACCATTTGGTGGTGACATAGATGGTTATATCATTATCAGAAAGTTGCTACATTCTGTTTTCACTATACAGTTGGGAACTAAAATTTCCATAATGGAGATCTCATTGAAGATATGTGATTTGATTGCGTGTTCAAGGTATGATGTACTCTTAGACATGCTCTAGATAGAGTATCACCAGAGTGTACATGATTTGGAATGTGTGAGTTCATTTATATTTGCAGTTTCAGGCAGTGTTGACTCCAGCGTTCAAAACAGCCGTGAAAGTGAGGTGGGCTGTGGGTATGGAGCCTTCCCCCACCATGATTAGAGGTGGCACATCATACTTTTTTCATCCTTGGCGCAGTTCAGTTTGTGGCGGAACTTGTGGAAACCTTCGACAAGCAAGCGGATGAGGTGACGTTGAGCTAGGTGCAACCAGGTTGGTGCTGTAGTTCTTGTATGAGTGCATGGCCACCATTGTGTTGCTTCTTTTAAGAATGCTAATTTGAAAAATATAAGTTCCCCTTACTTACTCCTTGGCTTCATGGTCCTCGAAGAACCATGGTGTCTTTAATGATAGATGCAAGTTATTTTCTGTTATATGCTATTTGCCTCCATCTCTTCATTCACTACATCTTTCAGTCATCTTAAACATAAATTTCTTGTAGCTTCTTTAATTTTGTGACTTCTGATATGTAAGCATCAGTTTCTTTATGTATATGTTTTTAATGAGCTGTTTATTATTCAGTTCAGTATTTAGAATTGTAAAGCTGTTACGTAACGGGAACAGGTCGTAATTCGATTTATACACATTTCTTTCAATGTGGAACTGAGTGTTGGATGTCTCTGGAACTTTTATTTCTGGAGAGTATCCCTGGTTATGTAGAGTTCTGTGAATCTGGGTGTGTCTTTGGAACTTCGGGCTGGGTTATATGCATTTTACTGCATCACATGATACATGTGACCCACATGTAAACTGTTTGCAATGAATTTCTTTGCGCTGGCAAAAATATATGTGGCATGTATTACTGCCTACCATTTCTAACCATTTGCACTTTGTCTTTACCTCTTATTTGTATATAACTCCATCTTCCTGCAGGTGATATGTCTTGGATTATAGGACAGTCCAAGTTTTGTTTGTATAGAACAATACAAAAAAGGTAAAGTTGTCCCAGTACTTAACTAATTAAACACTACACCATGAAGGCGTATGGGGGAATGGATGTAAAGAATACAAAAACTTCTAATTTAATATAAATCTGACTTTTGACAATTTTTATGTTTCTTAAATATTACAGGCTTGATGACACATGATCTGATTACTTTAGTCATTAATTTTTAAAGCTGTATTTTCTGTAAGACACTAACCATTGTCAGCAAATTGGTAACAGTGCGGACACTCTATTCATAATGAGCATGGAAATAATGCAGAGATTATTGTAACCCAGAAAATCCTTCAGGTTTGAAATTCTCACAGTGGTAAGCTGAGCTTGGAAAAAATGTTACAGATTTAGGGAGATTTAGGAGTGAGACCAAGGCAGTGAAGAAATCAGTAGGAGGGAGGGGAATGACATAAAGAAGATCAGGCATTTAAATCCTTCTGGCATGATAATATAACCATACATCTCTATTTTGGCTACTGACTTTATGAATTTACCATCACATGATTGCTGTGTTGTATCTTTACTGTTTACATTCTTTGTCAGTTCTTCAAGTAGTGTGTGTATAGGAAAAATAGATGGCAGGAGTTGTATGTTTTCTCATATAGAAAAATTTTTATTTTAAATTATTGTGCAGATTTGTTTGTAGTTGTGGTAATGAGGTTGGAAGTAAAACGATGTGCAAGGGTTAAAATTTACAGTGGAATTACAACCCCCTACAGCTTCATGGGATGCTACTTAATCAGCTTAATTAACAATATCTGATTAATTCAGCATCCAGTACATTTAGTTCCATTGTGTACATACTCAAGCATAAGGCTCAAATTGCCGGTCACGGTAGCTGAGCGGTCTAAGGCATGTACTGTCTTCACTCACTTGGAAACCGGGATCGTGGGTTCGAATCCCACTCAGGGTGTGGATGTTTAGTTTGTGTGTGTGTGTTTTTCTGTGTTTGTGTACAGGTAGAGGCCTTGCGATGAGCTGATCACCCGCCAAGGAGTCCTACCGAATGTGTAAGATCTAGAAAAACCGAAGTGAACGGAGAAGTTCATGGAGGTAGGCCTAGGCCCACTGGGGCTGTAGTGCCAAGGGGGGGGATAAGGCTCATATTGGGGTGTTTTTCACATTTTCAGTTAGATTTTGATGATGGACATTGCCCAACTTAGAAGAACCAGATTATAGGGTTGCACAATGTTTACAGAGCTATACACAGTCTTATTCCAGGGGTACCAACCATCCACAAAGCACCAGTATTGATGTTACGACCTCGTACTTGGAACATGATGGAGCATAATATGGTGTCATGTTGCTGCAGTGTAGCTTTGATTATTAATATGAAATATTAATATATGAATCTCATGTTTGACGTCTGTTGTATTGAGCATACAGTGGAAGTCACAGAGTTTCTTTAGGGACAACTGGGTATGAGCACCAAAAGAGGAAAAACTTAAATTTTAAGTCTTAAATATTTCTAGTGTTATGTAGGATATAGCGTTCTCACAGCAGTGATTGTGGAGAGTTTGGTTTTCTTGGATATAATGCTGTGTTATCTTTTTTTAATTGCTAGTGGGGGGGACTAAGTCCCTTGTACTGTGGCCACTTCTGGCCTATTGTACCAGCTCCAGATGATAGTTAAGGGTGATTGTGGAGCAATTGGTGGAATGAAGATTGGCAGGGGAAACCAAAGTACTTGGAGAAACCTGCCCAAATGCCACTTTGTCCACCACAGATCCCACTTGTACAGACCTGGGATTGAACCCGGGCTGCCATGGTGGGAAGTCAGTGACTAACCGCTTGAGCTATGGCGCAGCCCTTGTTATCTGTTGAAATCAACTGATATTTGGGGGGAAGCATGTCGCCTCCATTTTCAGGGTTGAAGAGTAAGCCAAGCAAGTAGCCAGTATGAACTGTGCAGCAAGATTGCCCCTCAGAAACGTCATATGAGTTTCAGTGGACTATATAACATTGTATCTAAGAAGCTAGGGTTCTCCATCTCTGATACTGATGTAGAATTCCTTATCAGTTAACATTCCTGATCCTTTTCTCCTCCTACTCCTTCCTTCTAGCACACTTTTTTATCATTTTACTCAAGTCAATGGATGGGATGATTCTGATCTCTTTTACCCTTCTGCAATCCAAAGTTTGCAATTTCTTGCCAGATTTTTCCTCTCTTCAAGATGTATTCTAGTGCCTGGCTGAACTAGCCTGTTAATGGAACATCTGTACTGTACATTGATGGTCACTCGAAATATATTTTTAAACAACAAATATGGTACTTTTAATTGTTTTCATCCTGTTGCATGAATACAACTGATAATATTAATGCTACAAATTCAGCTGTCAATGCAACAGGTGTTTCTATTTACAATTCAATAATTGATCATGTAACTAAGAACATTAACCATTATGAGTCAAAACGTGCAGAGTGGTTTAAATTAATAAACATGTGTTGCATTGATGGTTGAATCTGTAAAATTAATATTATTAGCCATCAAATACAGCTCCGAAAATTGTATTCTTGCTATGCATGCACGTTTGTTAACTCTTTGAAGTTTGAAATTTGTTTAAACGGTATTTAAAAATTAACTTCTTCACAAACAGCATACTGTGTCTACATTAGAAATATCACCACTGTTTAGGGATATATTCACTGTTTATAGTAAGAATCACATGAGACACGTAAGTACATCCTGTGGACTAAGTGCATTTATTTTTTCAGTGTCAAAGTAGGTGATGCATGTACTTACCATCATGCTTTAAAGGATTTAAAGTGATATTGTTCAGAAGTAACGTCTGTTTGTATGGAATATCTGTAACATAACATTGTCATTTGAACAGGTAAATGGGAAAGAAATACCTGGCCCTCTTTTTGATTTTGATGTTCCACAATGCCAAGGATCTTGTCAAAGTGCAAAGTGGGCTCATCTTCTATCTTTCTAAAATTGAGGGAGCAAACTAAGCACAACTTTGGAATAACATTTTTGTGTGGGCTCAGGAAAAACTAAACATTACAAATGGTAAGATATGATGGTAGGAAGATAAGGAACAACATAGTAAAGTGTATGCTCATAGAAGACATAAGATTGAAATTAGCAAATTTAAACAGAAACAGAAGGAAGATTAAAGAGTACTTTGTGCCTTTGAGTTCCATAAAAGACTGGGAATTCTGGAATAGTTAAGTGACTGTTGACTTTTCCAGAAGGAATGTGTGTCATGGGGTTAATCAGTCCAATATATAAAAGTGTAAGTTTCCTGTCAGTTTTCACTGACTATGTTCCCTTCTGGAGACTGACCAGAGAATGGTGAGGGACATAACATTTGCTTTATATACTGTTGTCAGTTGGCACAGTAGTTATGCTGTGCTGTATTGATGTCAGAATATTGCATTCTGGTTGGCTGGTGGATGTTTGAAGCCCTACATCCACTCCCCCATACATCTTCATGGCATAGTACTTAATTAGTTAAGCACAGGGACAACTTTTACTTTTCTTTTCCATGAGTAAACTATCACTTTCATTATCTGTATGTTTAAATACTGTGATGAGAAGCATTTTGCTGTGAATGATATTCAGTTGCCATTACCATCTTTAGTACAGGAAGTAGTTCGTGGATGACATATGTTAACATGAAATTTACTGCATGTTGTAAGCAGTTCCTTACGAATGAATTTCAGCATTATCTTTAATGTTAGAAGCCACATATAATTTTGTTCTTTTCTTTCATGGCATTGCACTTCTTTGCTAAAAATGTATGTATTAGTTATGACTTGTGTTACTGGTAAAAGTACTGAGTGCTTAGGCTGTTTATTATAATAATTACCAATCTAAGAATGTTGAATCATGTCACTTATTTTGTTCTTCTTTTACAGGAACTATTAAAGCTTGTGTACTCATTTAAAATATCTTTTCATCCCATGAAATGGAAGAAATACCGTATGAGCTCAGAGATCATTCTTTGGGACTTAACTGTGGCATTTGGGACTATGCTTCTTCCATCACGTGCAACTTTGGTTTGTATAGAAAGTATGATTGTAATTCTGGTTACATAAAAGGCATTTTAAGGAGTCCTTGAGAGGAAGGACACCACTCCAGGAATTAGTTCAATATATTTCTGCAATGCTTTCCGTTCTGTAGATGTACATGTATGTCCTTTAACTTGTTAGTGTGTGTCCTATAAGAAATGTTGACTCCATCAAGTGAAACTTCAAATACATAATTTATATGCGAATTGAAGGAAGCAATAGTAAAATAAGTTATAAGATAGGTGATATTTATTTATTTATTTATTTTGTCTCTATAGATCATTGTTACATGATATAGGACTCAGAATGCGAAGGGTTAAAGTCAGAATTCAGTAGTATAAATTCCAATTATACTTTAATGGTAACTGTTAAACATAAAATTAATTAAGAATCCTAACCTCAATAACTTGAAAGTCCTAGGAAGGACTGCTATGTTTTGTTCTGAGACACTAGATTTGATAGTGGTACAGCTGTATAAAGAAAATGTTTTCAGTAAAGCTTGCCTATATAAGGAAACATTGTCAGAGATACCTAACCTCTCTTTTATACTGAATTTCTTTCAATCACATCTTGACCAGTGACAGCTGATGGTTAAGTGATTTGGCCGTGGACATGACATATTTTGTATTGTATTGTATTGGAGAGGGTGGGTTTCCCCATGCACTTAGACCATCTGTTGGTCCATTGTGCATCCCCCTATGATATTCTACCAGTCTCTATTCCCTACCGGTACTGCTGCGTGCCATCAGTCCCGACTCAGCCAGTGAGTTCGGCCTCTACTGGCTGAGCGGTATCTCGATGCTTCCCCCATCTACCAGAAGCGTTAGAGACTACTGTTGGGCGGGAAATGTCCTGAATTTGGCTCAGTGGTCCCCTTGGGACATGAGGTTCTTTTACGTGCCGTAAAGCTACAACATGGGACACACGGCTTAAAGTCCCTCACGGAGGACTTGTTCCCTGAATTTTTCCGCCCTTAAAAATTCCACAACCTCCGCCGGCGTACCTTGAGTCACGAGGTGGGAACGTTACCCCTAGACTACGGAGGCCGCTTGGACAGGACATAAGTTTTACTAATAGCTACTGTTTAGACATTTCTACCATACTCCAGATTTTACCATGCACATTTTGTATTCGCCTCTAGTATTAACATGCAGTCACACATAATTCTGAATGATCTCAGCTGCAACAGATGTGCGGAACCTTTGAAGGAAACTGTGGAAATCTCTAGCTACATTTTCCACACATACCACCCCCATCAATCCACTATGATGTAGATGAATAGGCACACTATCATCAGTGGAAACCTCTTTTTGACAAAGATCAAGACTACAGTGCCAACTGACATAAGTACTGTACACTCCTGCATGTCGTTATTACCCCTCATTAGCAACACCCCCAACTGCACCTGCTACATAATGACAGAATGACGAGTCTTAAACTTTTGTATATGTGAATTATTGTTACATTACATATTCAGTATTTCATATATTAATGCGATCACATTAAAGCATGAATTGATCAGGAGTGAACCTTAGGAACTTCTCTAGTGCTGTATAACAAACAGTTTTCGATATAGATTATTAAGATTGATTCAGCTGTGGGGGTTACTTTAAGCTTTATCAGCTAGGTGGGTTATTTTGCATGAATTGGCATGTTGAGACAAATGCTGCATATCAAAAATACATACATAGAAAAAATACAAACTGGTTTGTTTCTTCTGAGCTCTGCTGTTCAATGAAACTTAAAAATAATACAAATTTCAGCTCAAACACATTTATTTCTTCAGTAGTTTTTCAAGCATGCATGTGACAGATAAAAAACTATGTCACTGAGCAAGCTGGCAGAAGCAATAATGCCTCTGATTTATATTCTGAAGGCATCTGTCTTCAGTCTCTGCTGGTTCACTGATTATCCTTATGGAGGTATTTTGTGGTTTCTCTCATCCCTTCAGGGAAATGCTTGGATAGTACATAACCACTTCTCTTCACATACATTTAAATTCATGGTTCACTAATCATTCTACCATTCAGTGCTATGTAGTCTTAACTACCGACAGGGTTAAAACACCAACAGAAGCATAAGCACATTTTCTGGTGTCTGGCTGCGAACTGCAGAGTTATACCAACCATTACAATTAATCACAGATATTAACTTTTTAAGGTCTCCATGGAAGATTATGTTGCAGTTGTAACTAAGAAACTGGTGAATGGACTGATAAATGGGTTCATTCAGGAATGTATGTCAGGAAGTAATTCATCCTTCGACCCAACCAAGGGCAATAGGCAGAAACTATAAGCTACAGCAGAATCTTCATGGAAATAGTGACAAAAAAGGAATTTCCTGAGTTCATCACCACATATCTCATTGACAGGTATATTTTCTGAAATCTTTCCCCCGTGTACAGTCATGACATATCCTTGTATATAAAAACCTACAGCTTGATATTGTGCCATCATGCAGATTGGTGCAGGGAAACAGACAGTTGTAAAATCACTGCATCATAGGAAACACGTGGAAGATAGAGGAATGCATAGGCAGGGACAGAGGTCACCTCAAGGATATCATATTCAAGAAATAAGTGGAATGCTATGTATTTTAAGGTGGCATATTTGTAATTTGGTAAATACTGATCCTTTGTTTAATTACCGAGTTTTTAAAGTCACCTGTTTCTCTGCTCCACTTTGTATAACAGTCAAGAGTTGTTAGTAATTATAGATAAAACTACCAGGCAGCAGTGGGAGGTAGGTGTGTCTCAATTTCAGTTCTGACTTTTGCTTATAAAAGAATATTCCATTGCATGAATATGGATATTAACTAAAATTATCTTTTAATGTCTACAAGAGTGTGTGATTGGAGCAGTTATCTGTGTTAACTGCAGCAAGAGGTGAGAATTATATATTTCAAAGCTTCTACACATTTCTTACCTTTGAGGTTATTCAGAATAATGTGAGGCTGCATTTTGATACAAGGGAAGGTTACAAGGCATACATGGAAAAAAAATGACACGAATGGTGCTGATGTTAAAATAATACTATTAGTGAAATTTATGAAGTGTGTTAGTGTTTATTTTTAAACTCAGGGCAAAATCGCACAAGCATTGACTGTTAACAGTTGTACATATTGTGGCTAAAAAGATTGAGGTTTAGGTGTTTTTAATGAAGTTTGTTTTTATAGGCAGCCTGTACAAAACACATTTTCTCTGTATACCAGCACTGCTTAGTGCAGACTGTCTTTTCAGCAAGTTAATGTCTTGGTATAAAAAGCTGCCTTTCCAGCACTTTCCATGTTATTGAGGTCAGGTATTTTCGAGGAAGTTTATGTTTAAGAGACTGTGTTAAAATGCCAGCATGTTGTAAGGTAGTTGTATATGCATGTTATGCTTCTGTTAATGAGTGCTGTATAACATATAGATTTTGGATTGTTAACTGTGAAATATATTTTATTTAAAATGTATATAATTGGAAACCTCAAATATTATCTTTGTTATCCATGTTGTAAGCCAACAAAACATTCACTTCATGTATTTATACTTTACCAGTTCACCAACCAGCAAGCTATTTGACTGACTCCATGGAGTCCATGGAGCTAATAGTTGCTCAGCTAGTCAGATTCTCAGCATTATGTGTAATCTGAAGGTTCATTATGTTCACACTGTTGGATCCTATTCTGAGCCACATGCATCCAGTTAACACCATTCTACTTTGTAGTTCTTTAAGATCAGTTAATCTGTGTCTAGGTTTATGAAGTGGTCTCTTCATCATCATAATTGGCAAAACAGCCCTTTTTGAGTCTTAGAATATTCTGCCGGATTTGTCTTGAATTAGACCATCTGGTTTTCGTTTCTTTGGATTTTGCAGCAGTAATTATTTTCACAAAGCAAGGTCCTTGGGTCCAACCCCAGCCTAGAGAACCAGGTCCCTTTATTTATGTCCACTAGTGACAGGGTGACCCAGTTATACCCCCAGACACTGGGTTCCATTTTTGTTGCCTTCTACGACTCACAGGGCTTGGAGGTATTCCAACCTGCTGCCACACTGGAATTATGTTCATGTCGCTGGATGCTGCTCTGAACCACATGAGTCCAGTCCACACCCTCAGGACTTTATAGTTTTTAAGATTCCTTTTTATATTATCCTCCCTTCAAGGGCTATATGCTTGAAGTGATCTGTTGTCATCATGTTTTTGACTAAAATTCCCTATAAATTTATCATAAATGCATGCTCGTACGCCCCACACATTTCATCCTTCTTGAGTTTATCATCCCAATAATGTTTCACATCTGGGAATGCAGCAGTTTTGTTGGGCGTGCATTAGAGATGAGGTGACACATCTGAGTGTGTCAAGAACACCACTACACAGTTACGGTCCGTCCAGAATAATTTTTGACGACATTCTATGCCTTTCCATATATCTGTAAACTTTGTTCACCCTGTGGTTAGATTATGTGGCTGGAGTAATTAACCTCTGGGTTATATACAAGGAGGGTACTTTCTTGACCTGCTGAATGACTGTTTGCTTGTCCATAATTACTCTTCTCCATGGACTTGGTTATTTTACTTCCAACTCAGGTCCACTATGGAAAGTAATGCAAAATACTGTTGCATTTATGCGTGTAATTAAACAATTTATTCAGTGAAGATTACTGTCCTGTGCTACCCTGAAGATGGAAGCAGTACGTTCCTCCGAAACGTCGTTGAAGTGCTGTTAGACTATTTGGCATTACGTACAAGAATATAGTAATCTTCATAGTCACTTCTGTGAGAACCTCATATTCTACATTTAATAATCATTATATTTGTTTAAATGTTTATGCCAAACTTTTTGCGGTGGGTAGCACCCAAACTTAGTATTCTGGAGGTCCTGGGTACAAACATTGATCTAGATGGAGACTGCCCGCCCTGGTAGACATTGTCACGGGTTTTTTTAGTTCCGTCAAGCGAATGCTGAAATAGTATCTCTAATTAGATCATGATTGCTTGCTTATACGTCATTATCAATTTACTCCTTACTAATCAGCTTTTATGTTTAATTGTACTGATCAGTCATTCTTGGAGCTGAGCCCTTCTTGGGAAGACACTAATTGTGCAGCTACTCAATTTCCCAGCAATTTATGGAACCCAAAGGTTCATTATGCCGGTCATGGTAGCCGAGCGGTCTAAGGCATGTACTGTCTTTGCTCGCTTGGAAACCGGGATCGTGGGTTCGAATCCCCCTCGGGGCATGGATGTCTAGTTTGTGTGTGTGTGCGTTTTTCTGTGTTTGTGTACAGGTAGAGGCCTTGCGATGAGCTGATCACCTGCCCAAGGAGTCCCACCGAATGTGTAAGATCTAGAAAAACCGAAGTGAACGGAGAAGTTCATGGAGGTAGGCCTAGGCCCACTGGGGCTGTAGTGCCGGGGGGGGGGGAAGGTTCATTACTGTCTTCACAAGAGCCCTCCACCTGTCCCTATCCTGAGCCAGATCGATCCAGTCCATACCATCCCATTGTATCTCTCTTAAGATCCATTTTGATACTGTTCACCCACCTATGTCTTGGTCTTCCTGGTTGTCTCTTTCTTTCCCACCAATATCCTATATGCATTCCTCTTCTCCCCGATTCATGTTACATGCCCTACCCATCTCATCCACCTTGACTTGATTATTCTAATTATATTTGGCAAAGGGTAGAAGTTATGAAGCTTCTCATTATGCAGTTTTCTCCAACTTCCGATCATTTAATTTCTCTTCGATCCAAATATTTATCTTCAGCACTCTGTTCTCAGTCCCCTGCAGTCATGTTTCTCCCTTAATGTCAGAAATTATTTTTCACACCCCTACAGAACCAGAGGTAAAATTATGTATTATTTACTGACATGATCAGCATTTAACTCTGATGGTAGTGTCATTAAATAATACATGAATAATACTTAAATATTTCAGCTGCGCGGATTCATGTCCTGGAAGTGATCAGATCTCTACACATATTTATTGCTAGTCTCTAAAGCCCTTCTTCCATTCAGTTTGTATCTGGACTTTTTGCATGTGTTGACCATGAAAGTTCCGTAACCCATGGATTGCAGAACACATGCTGTCATCTGCCGGTCGCTTTGCGAACTCACTTAGAGCGGTTATGAAATGCGCATGGATTTCTCACTTGTTCGTTTGTTTATTTTGTTTTTTTGTACCACACAGTATTGCCTATTTATTTTCTGTGTTGTCTGATACACGTTTATCACTGTGCAATTTAGTTAGATATATTATTTACGTATTTATCTGTAATTATTTTTTTTATCTCCCTCGTGCCTGCCACAGGTGGGTAACCCAGTGCTTGCTGGCAACTGATCCGTGTGTTGAACTGCCACAGTTTGAGTGCGCGTTCGTGAGCGGTCGCGTGTCGTGTGTCCATTGTGCTTGGTTACGCTTGTGTTAGAAGATTGTGTTGTTTTGAGTGTGTGAGTCTGTGTTTGTGAAGACTATGCACAGAGACAGCTGACCGGGTAGGAAAATATTAAATGTTAATACTTTATATGTGTATCATGTATATGATAAAAGACCTTACACGTGGATGCATCATGACAGCTTCGTTGTACGCTAAAATCCCCCATTTGGAATGGTTTTCAATCTGAAGGGGCAAAAGGCGGATAAGCTGACATGAATTGCATGTTTTGAGGTTGTTTCTTCTTTTGGATCTTTGCACCATGTGGATGTGGGCTATGTTTCGGAGGTACATGCTGCCTCCATATTCAGGGTCCAAATGAGTAGGGTTGTTGGGCGTTCATGCGTATGTAGGTTATTGAGTTAACAGAATGGGGCAACTACTAACATATGTATGCGTGCATTGTTTTATTATCATTAACTGTTAAATTTATTTATATATTTTTTGTCTTTAAGGGCTTAACTTTTGCATCTCTAATCCGGATGACCTCCCCCCAGTAATCCGGCCTAACTAGGGTTTACTATGTGTATATACACATCACATTGATTCTAAGTTTGGGTGCAGCAAGTACCTCCGAAACGTCGGTAACACTGCCCACATTCACAAAATCCAAAGACCGAAGAGCAGAATAAGTGAACCGTCTTGAAAATCTAAAGTAAGAGTTCCTGTGAAGCAAGCAGTGTGTTAACCCAGAAGACTGCTTGCTTCATAGTCACCTCCGTGAAAACCTCAAATCTTACAAAGTAGTCCTATGTTTGTAGTTTGTTTAGTGACTCCCATTAACTCGACTGTATAGTGTCGAATGATAAAAGATGCGAAAGGAAGTGGTCGTGGAGGGATTACAAATTATGAAGTTGCTGATTAAGTGATAGCGGCAGCAATATTTCACATAACGTGGATCCTACTTTCGTGTGACGTCAAAATATAGGCTTAGACGTAGGTTAACATTTCGAAGATCCGTTCTGTTACCATCTTCAGTTCACTAATATATCGAGTTACACAAGAAGGTGACGTAAGCATAACCCATGTTTCCTGGAGAACTTCCTGCCTGCATGTTCAGGATCCAAGAAGCCAAGAAAACAACATTAAGCAGCAAGTAAAGTTCGCTTCTATGATGTTTGGCGTATCTTTGACTGTGAAAAATTGCAAGCATGACGTCCCTCCGAAACGTCAGTGAACTACCGGCATACACGGAATCACATCCCAAAAGTTAGACGCGTAAGAAGCTGCCCCCAACTTAGCCGGTATAACCGGTAAGAATGAAGCGTATTTTACCACATTCGCTTCTGTGAAGTAACATGGAAACCGGGTGCAGTTCCGTGTGCAAACAATTGAACACCAAGAACCGTACACTTCCGGGAGCCGTCTAGGAGAGAGAGAGAGAGAGAAAAAAAAGGCCGATAAGATGAATGTAAGTAAGAACAATGTACGGACATTTTATAAGTCACGCCCTTTCCGCTCACGGAAATGACGTAAGAATGATATTGTAATAGAGAAAAGTTTGTTTACAGCCTGTTATCATGGCACCTTTCTACTGCTACTTGGGAACACGAGCATAGGTTATGCGTCCGTTTGCAGTAAGCCTACTCCAGCTGATTAACTCTCTGAAAGAACGAAGTCTGTGAACCACGTGGTTCAACATGCAGAAATTCCGCATTATGCCCACGGAATGTATTTGTGTGTTAGGATTGTGAGAAGGAACAACAATTGCTTTAACCTACTGGCCCTTGTAATGGACAGTCCTTTTTTTTTCTGTGCGGTACGAACTGAGTTTTTAAAGTTTAAATAAGATTTACATGAATCCACTGATTGCTGCTGCATCCGTTTAAATTCGCCAAAATTAAGTGATTCCCATATCATCACTTCAAATTGTGCCATTCAATCAGGAAATCAAAATGTTACTAACTCTGTCTATAGTGATTCACAGAAGTTACTACAGTAAACCCTCGCCAATCCGGATTCATTTTTGGTGGGGGGGGGTAAGAGGTCATCCGGATTAAGCTATAATCCGGATTAGTGAAGCAAAAGGTAGCCCTATAAGACAAAACAAAAATTAGAACAGAAATACATGGAAAGTTTAATGATGTAGGTAGGTAGTGCTGGTGAAAATAAATAAAATAACACTGTAGAGTTTTTATTTAAAACTATAAAAAGACAGTACCTTTGTTCATTGATAGAAGACCAGAAGTTGCAGTTGTTTTTGAACGTAATAATGCAGTTCTGAAGACACTGAATGGGAGTATACTGCCTTGATTTTCTAACCCGAATTAATATTCTGTTGTTTTTGATTATGACACCGTGTAGTCTGGGAGTGTGTTGGGTGCTAATCTTTTGGAGGAACCCTGAAGATTGTGGCAGTGTGTTACTGGGCGTTTAATTTAGTATCCAAATATCTGTATAGCCAATTGTTGCTTGTCGTACATAACATTTAGTTTTATTACTAAGTTCACCTGCTTCACGTTCGAGAAGCCAAAATACTGAAAAATTTTGAACCATTAGTCAATAGCTTAGTTTTGGTCAAGGTGAGATTAATATTATAATATTAAAATGTTTCTTAATCCATCAGCAGTCGTGCCGGCGGTTAGACCACGTCGTTTCTACTGATTTTGTGGTACTACATGTCTGACATCTGTTGCTGTGTCAGTAAACTATTTAATGTATTTTTGACTGTCGTCCGAGGCCTTTGTTCGTTCAGCTGGGCTGTCAATGCGACTGGAATAAAAATGGTTGCTGGACGCAACACGTCACGCGCGTGGTCATGTAAATAATTTGACACATGAAGAATGCCGTCTTCTGGGATGTGGCGCCGTGAACCCAACGCTTTGGAGGAACGTATCACTTCCATCTTCAGGGTAGAAAAATCCGCGAGCGAGGAACCAGCGCGAGCAAGTGGCTGCAGAAGACGACATTTTCATAGTGACCGCTGTGAAAATCAATTTTGATGTACACATTTGTAGCGGCAGAGTTTTTCACACTGTAACAGTCAGCGAATAACAAGGGTAGTGAAATAAAGGGCGATTTTTTTTCGTGCGTACAGTATGGAAATATTGTCCGCAGGTACAAATAGAAGTTTCGATTATGTTTTCGTGTTGCCATAGAGTACGTGATATGTGTTATGACATGAAGTAAAAACGTAAAAGTAAAAAAAGTAAAGCTATATCTGTAAGATGCCGTGAAGGCCTATAGGGTTGTGAGACGTTGAGGGTCCCACATTATCTAGACAATCGGCTCAAAGATGGCGGTAAGGTCAGCCTTACGCGCCAGCCGCGCTTTATTCCCCAGGAAAATTATTTATTTTATTCCTGGTACTCATATCTGTTAGAGGCTGAGTCGACCCCAGGGCCATAGTGCGACTATAAGGATTAGGTCATTTTAAAAAATCCAGTGACCTCATCGGGACTTGAACACGCGACCTTCCGGCTTGTAGCATAGCCCCTCAACCAACAACTGAAGGAACCTTGAAAATACCTAAGAAAAGAATCAGATAAAGAGCCATTTGTCGTTGTACTAGATATATTTTATCCAAAATGTCAAAATAGTGTCGCTTGCAGCTGAAATGACGGGAGTCCTTTGAAAATATTATGAAACCACTGAAGGTAAAAGGAGGTACACGTGGGGAGCACGTGATGGAGAGGAGTGAAATGTGCGGGTATAATTGCAGAGTTTAATTCAGGGGACCAGTTTCCTTGCAAACAACATGTACGGATAACATGCAGCTGCGTTTAAAAAGTTAATAAACATATCTTCATTTCAACATAATAAGTTGGGTTGCATTTATGTGGCCCTGACTGTTATGGTGATAAACTATCCTGGGTGCTTTTGTTTAATGAGAAATAAAACAGCTTTAATGATCAAAAAGTTCTGAGAAGACCTAATCTCTTACTTTCAATTGATACGACACGGACCGCATAGAAGACCAAAACAATTTTTTTTGGGAGGGAGGACAGCATGGTGATCTCA